TTTTTGGGTGCCCGCGGAGCGCCCGGGCGGCCGCGAGAGCCGCTGGCAACGCGGCAGCTTCTCCGGCAACAGAAAATCAAGGAAACACCGGGATGTGCAAAACCTTCCTCGCGCTGGCCTCGGAGGGTAAAAATATCGAGAGCAAAAGGCACCCCTGGACACGGGCCAGTCGCTGGAGACAAAGAGGCAGCGCTGGCATTAGCGTGGATAGCAGGAGGCCTCGGGCGCTGCCGGGTCTCCGGAGGAGGTGGCAAATGCCGGGCACGGAGCCGGAGCGCCGCGCCAGGCTGGATCTCTCCGGCATCCGCTGCCAGCACCTAAGTGTCCCCGTTAAGCTAATTATTTAGGGGCCGGGGAGCCTCCGAGCTGTGCACGAGGTGGCTCCTGCCAAGGGAGAGCTTGAACTCGGCCCCGGAGGGTAAATCCGCCCGAGGAATAAGAGCCACCCGAAGGGCTCTGCTTCGCTTCAATCCTATTTAAACCTCATTTTGTGGACTTGGGCTACCTGGGATTTAAGGTGCTGCTCGTGCCGAGGCCGTTAACCCTTGTGGCTGTGCTAGGCTTGACTGCTCTAGACCAAAACGTTAAAGAACTAACGAGGTGGAGGCAGGTGCCAAGAGGAGGACGAAGTTTTGTGATAGTTGTGTGGGGATCCAGGGCGCGAATGCCGTCTGCGGGGAGCTGCAGATCGGCTCTGCTCTTTAGGATTTAATCCCGCTGGATTTTGAAGCTCCTAACAACGTGGTGCAGCTGCTTGAACAAGATCGGGTGTCTGCTGTTATTTTTTCATTAAATCTCACTTGTTAGTGTTGTGTTTCCTTAGGAGGCATCCAGCCGAATGCTCCAGTTAACGCGGATTCCCGCAGGCTCTCTCCGCGCCCCGACGCGACCCTGTTTTCCCTTCTGCGGGAGGCGAAGCTCCCATGTCTGCCCTGCGCGTCCCGGCAAAGGGAAGGCGGGATCCCGGGATGCGCACGGAGCGCTCGGCGCGGGCTCACGGAGCCAAAGGTGCCGAAGGCTCCGTGCCGTCCTGGTGCTGGAGAGGTGGGAGCAGCAAGGATGCGGACAAGGTGGGAGCAGCAAGGATGCGGACAAGGACAGTGAGGGTGCCAGAGCACTGGAACAGGCTGCCCAGAGAGGTTGTGGATTCTCCTTCTCTGGAGATCTTCAAACCCGCTTGGACGCAGTCCTGTGCCACGTGCTCTAGGTGACCCTGCGTGTGCAGGGGGTTGGACTAGATGATCTCTAGAGGTCCCTTCCAACCCTAAGCATTCTATGACTCTATGATTCTAAGGAGGAGCATCCCTGGCTCAGCGAGAGGAGGGACACCCAAGAGGAGCCCCCAATTTGCTTTCGATCAGGGGTGTTTGGCGGAGCTCGCAGCCACCAGGCCCCTCCGCGCCCTGCACTTCTCCGAGTTTTCCTTGCTCTGTTGTCTTATGGTCTAGCCGCGAACAAAGAGCTCGTTCATGCCGAGCAAACACAGCCGGGGCAGTGGGGATGCTCTGCCATCCCATCCCTGTTCCAGGGCAAATCCCGGCTGCCCGGCGGCTCCGGCGGGGGGACGCGGGGAGCAGCGGAGCCTTGTGCCGTCCAGGCCCAGCACCTATTTCCAGTTAATAACCGTGCGGCCAGCGCTGTTTCCACTATCAAGTTCTTTTCCTGCTCCCATTCCAGGTCAGGTTTGCAGCATCTAAACCCTGTCCATTCCAGACGGACCCTGAGGGGCTAATTCGCACCCGGTTCCCTTTCCCCTTCGCTCGGGGCCCCGGGCGCTTAGAGCTTTTGCTGCGGGAGAGGAGCCCCTGTGGATGTGCTGGGTTTGGCTAAATCATCCTAGCTGGAAAATGAGATTGGAAATCCAGATAGTGGGGATTAAGGGAGGCTTCAAAGCGGGAAATTGGAATATAATACGTTAGCAGCTCCAGAGGCTGAAATTGCTTCTTTAAATGTGAAGCAAAGCAATTCCTAAAGAGGGAAGATACGCGGAGCTGCTCGGCTTCCTTGTGAAGGTGAAGAGCAGCGCTATTCCCACCCGCCCGGCGAGCCGGGGCGGCACGTACTCATTGCGGGCGATAAAAGACGTGTACCAACATTCCCGAGAGCGCGTAACCTTCCCCGAGCCGGCACGCGGCGACGGCGCGAGCCGCCCAGGCGGGAATGCCAGCGCGCGGCCTCTTCTCCTGTTACTGCGGGGAAGAGGGACAGAGCGAGGGCGTCCCAAGGGCGCCGGAGCCCCGCGGAGCCCGGGAATCTCGGGACACGCGCTGGCCCCGTGGGAGATGCGCCTGGCTGCATCCATGGGGTCAGGCAGCTCCTGGCTGCCCGAGCATCCCCGCTCCCTTCCATCCTGGACACAAGGAACGCGGTGGGGATCCTCAGGTCACCGCATTGGACAAAGGCTGCGTGATCCGGCGCGGCTGCAGGCCGGACTCCAGCCTGGCCAAGGCTCTCGGTTTGTGGTTTGGCCTTGGAGCCCTGCTCCATCCGCACTCGGATTCCCTGCGCTCGGCTGGGACGTGTCCCTGCGTCACTGCTCTCCTGGGCAGCCCTCCCTTGTGCCCTTCCTACGCTGCCCCCGGCGTTTGGCCCTACGGGGTCGTGGGCTGCATCTCCAGAGCCGGGAACCGGCCTCCTCTTAGTCCTTCTTTCCCTCTCCTGCGCGTGGGTTGGAGCGTATTGAGGGGCGCCAGGAAGGGAAAAGCAGCTCACACTTCAAAATCCCGGTGCCCAGGAATCCCCCCTGCCCCACCATGGGGCACGAGACCCTCTTTTGCAGAGCGGGGAGCTCCCTCCCAGCCCGTCCGGTGCTAAACGTGGACCAGAGCTTCCCATGGCACCGGGGCCGTACGAGCGGCCCGGCCCGCACTCACCAGCAGCTGCTTGATGGGGAAATCCCGCAGCCCTCCGTCGCGGGGGGAGTCCAGCACCACCGGGAAGCTCTTGTGCGGCGCGTGGACGTAGCCGAACTCCACCT